ATCTTGATGCAAAACAGGTATTAGGTGGTTGTGTGAAGTTAGAATCCAAAATACATTTCTAAAAAGCTAGGAATAAATTAATTTTTAAGATTAATATACTTTAAATGTATTAATATTATAGGCGTACTTAATGTGTGACAAATTCATTCATAAGGGAAAGAATAAATGAGACTTTGAGAAGAAATATTTATACTCTAATATGTAATTTGTATATCTAGATTCTCATGTATCCCACTTGCCCAAAACAAGAATTATCTGTATAATGGAAGAGAATAGGTTGATTTTAACTGAAGATTTTTTTTTTTTTAAATGCCAATCCCTGTAAATAGGCTTCATTAGATCAGGTATTTTTGTCTATACTATTTACTTAGGATGAATGATACCTAAACTTAAAGTTCAATAAGTAGATGGGTGCAGTGGCTCACACCTGTAATCTCAACACTTTGGGAGGCCGAGACGAGTTGATCACCTAGGTCAGGAGTTCGAGACCAGCCTGACCTACATGGTGAAACCCCATCTCTACTAAAAGAAATAGAAAAATTAGCCAGGCATGGTGGCAGGCACCTATAATCAGCTACTCTGGAGGCTGAGGCAGGAAAATCACTTAAACACGGGAGGCGGAGGCTGCAGTGAGCCGAAATTGTACCACTGCATTCCAGCCTCAAAAAAAAAAAAAAGTGAGAATCTGTCTCAAAAAAAAAAAAAAGTTCAATAAGTACTTGCTGAATGAATGTCCCAGATAATTTACATTGTTAGAGTATCAGGGTGGGTTTATGTGGCCTGTATTTCTGGTCTCAACTTCATTGTTGCCATGTATGGAACATCTGTTTATTTTGGTGAGACAGGATGTGAGAAATAAGAACAAGACAAAGAATTACGGGATTAAAAAGAGTGCACTAAAATCTGAAAAGCTATCAAGCCATATTGTAAAACAGACTACCTAAAATGATAGTAGCAATCCAACCTCTTGATAGAATTCAAATTGTAAATTTCATGAGGGAGGGGTAAGACATTAGAGAGACCATAAGGTCTCATCCTGCCAGTGAACAGGGAACATATTAATTCAGTTTGGCCACCTGGGGCCCATTTAGTGCACTAGAGCAGTAATTTGCTAAATGGGTCCCTCATAGTAAAAAAGAATGAGTAAACAGTGAACAATTTAGGCATGGTAAACCACTAGTAGCTCAAGGGATATAAAAATGTGAAACTATAATTAGATCCCTTGTTCATAATGTAGGAACTAAATGTATTACATTGTATATTGCATCTTTCTGAGTTTATTTCTGGACACAGCTGAGCCCTTAACAACTCAGACTGAAATCATCCCAGCTATCAATTTATGCCTCCATTAAAATTCCAACAGCTTATATTAGAAAAGAAACATCCAAAGATGACTTCCTTTATCTTAGATCTAAGGATGCAAACAGAATTAACCTAGATGCAGAACACAACAAGTCAGTTATAAATTACATAGCATAAAGTAAACTGTGGCAATAAATTGGAAATTACGTTCTCCTTTTCTAGACTTAGCTGTGAAAATATAACAAGTTGGCATCAGGATTTACAACTTTTTCATCTGATGTTTCTTTTCAGGGTTATCTTTTAGCATTTTAAAATGGGATTCTTTGAAAAGTGTGGTTAGTCAGAAATGTGGTATTAGAACATACATTTGGAACACTTTAAAGGGGGGGTATTCATGACATGTTGTTTTAGGATACTGGTGTATTCCCCACTCCACTTTTAAGTAGGAGAAGCTGCTATTTCATGGGTATCTGGAACACATTTGTCTTCTATTGAAATCTTTTTCTTATTTGGAGACATTTTACAGTGTGCATTGGCACAGATGGTCTGGGTGATGTTTCATGATACTAGCAAGCTCTAAGTAGAAGTTTCATTGCCCTTTATCAATTTGTTCTTTCAACTACCAGGCTCCAGTTGATCTGGTGGTAAGGGATTGTTTATTCTTCAGGAGCTCTCGTTTTCTTTCTGTCTCTTCTCTTACCCCAAGCTTAGTAACATCATTGGAGGCTTGGGGTAGAACAAGGGAAGGATTACACTGTGGACCCTGGCCCATTTGCTCTCCTCTTAGCTCTGCTTTTTATTATTCTGCATACAATGGAATATGTCATCTTTCAGATTATCGACTCTATGCATGAAATCCAGGAAAACCTTATTTTAGATCCCCACCCCTGCAAACACTGCTTTTATGAGGTAGGAATGCATTTCCTTCTTCTTTATGCTGAGATACTGTAACATCTCATTGATGAACATCCTGTTCATTGCCTGCCTCCTCCCACCACAACTTAGTATTAGGTATCCCTGGTACCAAGTCCCTATCTACCGGAGTGTGTGATGGCTCTCCAGTACCCTTTTCCCCAATATTTGGATACTAAATTCTTTGAGCAATGTCTTTTTTTTTTTCCAGACAAGAGTTTTGCTCTTGTTGCCTAGTCTGGAGGAGCGCAGCGGCACGATCTTGGCTCACTGAAGCCTCCGCCAACTGGGTTCAAGCGATTCTCCTGTCCTAGCCTCTTGAGTAGCTGGGATTACAGGTGCCTGCCACCATGCCCGGCTAATTTTTTGTATTTTCAGTAGGGATGGGGTTTCACCACGTTGGCCAGGCTGGTCTCAAACTCCTTGGCCACCTGCCTTGGCCTCCCAAAGTGCTGGGATTACAGGCATGACCGACCCACTGTGCCCTCTCAGAACAATGTTTTTTGTACAATTTTTTTTCCCCTTGAAGGAGGTGTTTTAGTTATAAATACCTTCAAAGAGTAAATAAAACTCCTAGAGAATAAAAAGGCAGAGCCGTGGTGATTGTGTAATGTTACCTGATAGGAACCATAGGTGGATTAAATACTGTATTGTAATTTCTTGGAGAAAGGGCAATGGTGCGGAATTTATGATGAGAAGAAACATTCTGGGTTGGATGTGGTGGCTCATGTGTGTAATCCTAGCCCGTTGGAAGGCTGAGACAGGCAGATCACTTGAGGTCACGAGTTTCAGACCAGCCTGGGCAATATGGCGAAACCCAGTACCTACAAAAAAAAATTAAAAAGTAGCTGGGCATGGTGGTATGCCAATAGTCCCAGCTACTCAGGAGGCTGAGGCAGGAAAATCGCTTGAACCCCGGAGGCAGAAGTTGCAGTGGGCTGAGATCACACCATTGCACTCCAGACTGGGCAACAAGAGCAAAACTTTGTCTCAAAACAAACAAACAAACAAACAAACAAACAAACAAACAAACAAACAAACAGGCTGGACGCGGTGGTTCCCATCTGTAATCCCAGCACTTTTGGAGGCAGAGGCAGGTGGATCACCTGAGGTCAGGAGTTTGAGACTAGCCTGGCCAACATGGCAAAACCCTGTCTCTACTAAAAATACAAAAATTAGCCAGGCGTGGTGGTAGGTGCCTGTAATCCCAGCTAATCAGGAGGCTGGGGCAGGAGAATTGCTTGAACCCGGGAGTTAGAGCCCCACTGCACTCCGGCCTGGTGACAGAGTGAGACTCCGTCTCAAATAAATAAATAAAGCAGATAAATAAATAAATAAATATAAAGGGGTTTGTAGGAAATCAGCTAAGGAATATAAACAGGTATACAAACTCCATGTTTTAGTACTGAAACTTAACATGGGCTTTGTTCTTTTAATCTTATTAAAGGATGCCTAAATTTAAAGACCACTCTTTGAATTTCTAGAACAAATAGTTTGTGTTGGGGCTACTGAAGGCACAATATAGATCAGTGTAATTGAAATATGTCTTCAATATATTCGCTTCCTCTTTGCTTCCTTTCTTTCAGAGACTGATCCTTCAACAAATGCACATTTTCATTGACACGAAAAAATTTCATTCAGAGTTTGGTCTCTATTGCCTGACTTCCTAGAGTAGGTTAGTTTCCTTGTTTTATGTCCGTTTCCAATGGTATTTCCCCCTTCTCTACTTCAATCTCACTTTTTGAATGTTGTTCTTTCTAAACTATAAACTCTATGAAGGCAGGGACAGTGTCTGATTTGTTCAACTGTTGTAACACAGTGACTGGTACATAATACCTGTTTGTAATTATTTGTTAAATTAATTGATTTGAATATGTTATCACTCTTGGGAGAACTTGCAATCTCCCCAATTTTTAATGTTGCTGTTGATTGAATTTAAATAAAATATATATTATAAATAGCTTCATGAGGTCAAAAGGTAAACTGTTAAATGAAAACATAGAAAATGATCAGGAATGTAAAAAATCATTGAGAAATACTTATTTTTATCTCCATGGCTTCTTCTATTCTTGTTTAATGAAACTGTGATAACCCAAGCGTGCCTTTCCTTGCTGTAAGCTCCAGTTGGTCTCTCTCCAACCCCCTTAACTCTTCATCTCCAAGTTTAGTAACTTAATTGATGTTAAAGCAGTTCCTGGATAGGATGTAGTTTAAAATGTTCTTAGGTGAAAATCCAGATTTAGGGCCTGGCCTGGCGCGGTGGCTCATGCCTGTAATCTCAGCACTTTGGGAGGCTGAGGTGGGCAGATCGCTTGAAACCAGCCGTAGCAGCATGAAGGGACTCTCCATCCCCCACTACAAAACAATATAACAAATGAGCTGGGCCTGGCGGCACACCCTGTAGTCCCAGCTACTCCAAGGATGAGGTGGGAAAATCACCTGGGCTCCAGAGGCGGAGGTTGCAGTGAGCCCAGGCCACGCTACAGTACTCCAGCCTGGGCAACAGACCAACTCTGTGGCAAACAAAACAAAACAAAACAAAACAAAACCCGAATTATAAAGCAACTGTGGAGGATGGTAATTCAATTAAAAAGATGTACTAAATTATTTTAAATAGTAAACTGCCCTAGTCCAGCCTACAACTTTGATTCAACTGACCAAAAATACAACTTTTCAGACTATGACTAAACATTGCAGCGATAGAAAATACTTTCTTCCTAAATGATGACAGAAAAAAGCCAGAGAAGACGTTAAGAGAGAATACATGGAAAAAGCCCATCTCATACCTCACCATGTCTCCATTCTAATGTTTCTTCTACTTTCCAGTGCTTTCCGTATCATTAAACTACTTCAGAATTCAAGATCAATGAGAGCTCAGTCCTTTGTCATTTTCCTTTTCAGATACAGGATAGGGAGAGGACAGGCTTAAGGTTGTGCCTTCCACCAAGGTCATTCAACGACAGTCTCACTTAGAATTCCCAGACACCGCCTGTCTTCCTGGGTCTTGAAAAAGTGGGAAGAAAGTGAGGTTGGACCACTCGCCGCCAGTGATCCTGTGGTGTGGCGGGTGAGTATCTCTTATCTCATACAATGGGCGGAGGTGAGGAGCAGGACCCGGGTCCTTCGTACTGTTTAGAGTCTCTGAAAGCCCTCATCTTTAATTGGCACGGAAAAGAAAAGTCATCTGACGAGCTTGAGTGCGGGTAAAGTACAAGTTAATAAACAAGAGCTTTCGCGTTCATTAAGAACTCTGGCAGAGTTCAACGGCAGAGGGCACAATACTCACTGGCCATGGCCAGCTGCAGGCGGGCAGGCGGGCCGGCGGGGCAGAAGCTAAGGAACGCTGGGACTTGTAGTCCGTCATGTTTCCCTAGAGATTGCCGATACCCGGACGAGAACCACAACCCCCAAGGTGCACTGCGCGTCTGTCTTCACCGCCCTCTCCGAGGCAGGCTCAGGAACCTCCCGGGAAACTGCCCCCCCCGCCCCGCCCTGGTACGCACGCGTCACGTTTGTTTACCCTGAAGCTCCGCCTCCGGCCATCCCCCGGCTCTCCCCACTCCTCCCTGGAATGCCGTCATGCGGCGATGAATATTCATTAGGCACACGCGGCCCTCCCGCCCTGCCAGCCTCCCGCCTCCCCGCCTGCCGGCGCGTGATTAATATTCAATGAGCCCAGCTCCGCGGCTGGTTCGCTGGGGTGAGGCCCGGGGAGCGGGCGGGGCCCGCGCTGGGGAGCCCGCGACCGGGGCGGGGAGGGCGTGTGTTGGGGGGGCGGTGGCGGCGAGGCGGGCGCGCGGGATGGAACACGGAGACACCGACGGAATGCTCCGAATCGCCACATAATCCCCTGGAACGGCCGAGCCGAACGCCATTGGCTTTCTCCTCCTCCGCGCGCCGCCGCTGTCTCCCACCTCCGCCTCATCGCCTCCCTCTCCGCCCGCTGCCTCCGGAGCTGGGGGGGAAACGCGAAGCCCCACTGCAATGGAGCCCGCCGCCGCGGCCACGGCGCAGCGACTCCCCGAGCCCGGCAGGGAGGACCGAGCTTCGGCTCCGGCAGCCGCCGCTGCGGCAGCGGCGGCGGCGGCGGCGGCGGCAGCGGCAGCGGCCGCGGCGGCTTTGGCGGCGGCGGCCGGGGGCGGCCGGAGTCCGGAGCCCGCGCTGACCCCGGGGACCCCGAGCGGCGGGAACGGCGGCGGCGGGGCGCGGGAAGAGGCCCCGGGCGAGGCGCCGCTGGGGCCGCTGCCGGGCAGAGCAGGGGGCACCGGGCGCAGAAGGCGGCGCGGGGCGCCCCTGCCCAACGCCGGCGGAGCTGCCCCCGTGCCCGGGGCCGGCGGCGGCACCAACTCCCTCCTGCTGAGGAGAGGGCGGCTGAAGAGGAATCTGTCGGCTGCAGCTGCGGCCGCCTCGTCGTCGTCGTCCTTGGCCGCTGCTGCCTCGCACTCCCCCGGCGCCGCCGGCCTCCCCGCCTCCTGCTCGGCCTCGGCGTCGCTGTGCACCCGGAGCCTGGACAGGAAGACGCTGCTCCTGAAGCACCGGCAGACGCTGCAGCTGCAGCCGTCGGACCGGGACTGGGTGAGGCACCAGCTCCAGCGCGGCTGCGTGCACGTCTTCGACCGCCACATGGCCTCGACCTACCAGCGCCCGGTGCTCTGCACGCTGGACACTACGGCCGGCGAGGTGGCCGCCCGCCTGCTGCAGCTGGGCCACAAAGGCGGCGGCGTCGTGAAGGTGCTGGGCCAGGGGCCCGGAGCCGCTGCCGCCCGGGAGGCCGCCGAGCCGCCCCTGGAGGCCGGCCCCCGACTCGCGCCCCCGGAGCCGCCAGACTCCGAGGCGCCGCCCGCGAGGAGCGCGCCGGGTGCCGTCGGGGGTCCTCCGAGCGCGCCCCCCGCCGACCTGCCCCTACCCTCTGGCGGCCCCGGCGGGTGGACGCGCCGCGCCAGTCCCGCGCCCTCGGACTTAAGCCCCGGCGAGCCATTCGCGGGGGGCCCTGCCTCTCCGCCCCACGCCCGGCGACCTGTGGCCTCCGACACCGAGAGCTTCAGCCTGAGTCCCAGCGCCGAGAGCGTGTCTGACCGGCTGGACCCCTACAGCAGCGGCGGCGGCTCCTCGTCGTCGTCGGAAGAGCTAGAGGCCGACCCGGCCTCGGCCCCGATGGGGGTCCCGGGCCCGCCCCGGCGTCCCGGCCGCCCCGCGCAGCCCCGGCCGCCTTCCCAGACGGCGTCTTTGCCTCCGCTGCAGCAGAAAGCCCCGAGGGCCGTCGACAGCCCGGGCGGAGCCGCCCGCGAGGGGCTGTGCAGGGAGAAAACGGCGACAGTCGCGGCCCCGGGAGGCCCCCAGTCGACCCCCAGGAGGAGCGGGGCGATCGCGGAGAAAGTGCCTCCGCCGCCCACCCTGTACGTGCAGCTCCACGGAGAGACCACCCGGCGCCTGGAGGCGGAGGAGAAGCCATTGCAGATCCAAAATGACTACCTCTTCCAGCTGGGGTTTGGGGAGCTGTGGAGGGTGCAGGAGGAAGGCATGGACTCGGAGATTGGCTGCCTCATTCGCTTCTATGCAGGTAAGGAAGGCACCTACCTTGACGGGTGGGTGCAAACGCTGCCGAGGACCGAGGAGTGATTCAGATGGCTTGTCAGTTTGCCCAACCCAGGAGTCAGTTCGGGTCCTGGTGAGTCTTTGTCTTAAACTTTACAGCTTTTTCATACAGTCTGTGTAGTACTAATCTGTAAATCTGCGCGTTTTATCAATCTTGAGGCCCCAGAGGTTGGAAAGCAATGTGGAGGAGGTGGTTGAATCATCAGGAAGCACAGGAAGCAGATCCCCCTGAAAGCGGCAAGAGCACGTTTAACCATAAAGGTGCTTCCTCAGGGACTTGTTGGGTTTCAGGCTGTTTGGGGTTTCAGGTAAACGGTCACGTGAGCGAGCATAAGACGGACGGAAGAAATGACAGCAGAAATGCTCTAGAACACTCTTGCTTGCATTTCACTGTCCAGTTGAGTGTTCTAGCTGTGTGTGCCACCGGGAGCTCCTGACTTGTCAACTGGTGCCTTTGTTTATTCAGCTCTGCCACACTCATAAATTCCCCATTAGAAATCTGACAAAAGGGTCCTTTTTTTCACTGATACTTTTCCCCAGCGCTTTTTTGCTCGATTTCTGTTTTGTCTGCAAGTTTGTCTTGCGTAAAAAATGATTTTTCTTGTTTCTTCTTGAATTTCTTCCATCCTTTATGGTCAGAACTGACCACTGCTGTAGGACTTGCAGGAGGGTTTACAAGAAGGATTTAGGTGGTTACTGTTTCTTCAGATATGATCTAAAATCTTCCCCTTCTTTTTTCAGTACATTATCAAATTCTTGACTGGGGTGACCCACGTAATGTTTCTCTTTTGGCTAAAGACTTGGCTAGTACTAAATTCAGGAGCTATATTATAGGTCCTGGATATTGTACTTGAGTTTGATAAATAGTTTGCATCCTTTTCTTCCTCTGGTTTGAGTAACTATGTTCTCAGTGATAAGGAATTTTATTTTAAATAAAGTTAGCATAGCAAAATTAAGTCAGGAGTGTTAAATCTTCGTCACCTTTAGGTTTTTAGGTTGTAGGTGATGGTGGAAGAATAATCATACTTGTAATTCCATTAATTTGTAGTTATTCTTTACGATTTAATGTCTTTCGGTCCAGCTTGTGCCCCAGTGGCAGTTTAGTTAGTTTGCAAGAAGAAATCTTTACATCTTTACTCCCACACTGAAATCCGCAAGACTGACAGCATTTCTAGTGAGATGCCCTTTTAAATTCCTTGGAAGTTTTTCTGAAATTCTTAAGTGAATTTCTGATGAATCTTTTCCTTGTAAAGAAAACCAAATAATAATACAGTAGCATTTGTAGTATCTGAGGACAGTTTGTCAACTGGATGACATGCCTTTTAAAGTTTATGGCCCAGGAAATAGATGATTTTTTGTGTAAGATCAACAGCTGTATCTTTTTCTCCTGTAATTCATGTAATTTGTAAAATGTTGTTATTTTACAAAAGCATTAAAAATAGGCGCCCTTATACCTACATGGAAGAAAACGTATATAAAACAAGGGATATATGAAATAGAGTTTGAACACATTTTATATGGATATAGTGTGTTATCCCTTGTTTTGCTCATGATTGATATGTCCATTGTGATAAATGTCCATTCGATTCTCTTCCAGAGTGTCCCAGATATTCTAGTGGGTAATAAGAACTTGTTTTTTCCTCAAAACTCATCTTAATATTAAAATGACAAGTCTTTCCCAGTTAAATGTTTGGCATGATCTTTTAATCTTGTTTTGTTCTCTATGAAAAGCAGTAATTGTTACCGCATTCCGCACTTACTGCCTTATTTCTATATGCACAGCCATAAATGCATTCATGCCACTGAGTATGAATCCCCACTGCTTACAAAAGTGGGGATGACACACACAGTTTCCACTCTATTCTTGAATTTAAAGCAGTGTACAGGTGTCCTAGAAGAAAGATGCCTGATTGTTACAAAGTTATCTAACTGCTGGTTTTTTAAGCAAAGTTGAGATTATTTTAAGCCTAGGTTAATATGCCACACATCTTTGCTGTTATTCGTTTGCCATAGAACAAAATTTAGTATGGTGAATCCACTTGAATTTGTGCAAAGAAGTTCAGTTATTGATGAATGAAGTGTAATCTCACTTATGGAAGCATTGTCAGGGCTTCACATATAGTGAAGGTTTGCACCAGACTGGGAGTAATTCCTAGAAATTCCGTGTTCCAACAGAATGTAGGACACCTCAACAGGAGAGAGTTACATTTTGGTAGAAGTGTTTTTTTTTTTTTTTCTTTTTCTGTAGGAAGAGGATAATTAATGTTTGTTTTAGATGACACCTTTTACAGGGTTTTTTGAAAATTCTGTACCCCATTTGGTAATTTTATATATAACTTATTTTTAAATTTATTGCTGCATGTTGTTTGTTTATGTATAGTTGGGGTTCAGGATAGCTAGGAAGTTGCTTTCAAATTCTTTTGAATATTTATCTTTATTTAAATTGAACTTACCTATTGTCTTAAGGGTCTACTCTCTTGAAAATTACCTTTCTATTAAATTTTAGTGTTTGTAAGCTGACTAGGGTTGTTCTTTAGAGGCTTTGAAACCCATTTGTGGTTGCTTTGAATATTTAAATATTTATTTGGGTAAAGTAAAATGAAAGTCTTTAATGAACAAAAAGGCCTTGGGTAAAGGTACTATCTAATTACAGAGTTGTTAACGAAAACTTGGTTTGAAAATTGTTATAGCATCTACCAGGCCACCATTCTCTTAGCTCACTTAAGATATGAGAAAATTTAATGAGCTTTATCTGAAGTTACTTAAGTATTTAACATCCTTGTAAAATCAGACATCTTAAATTTTGCCTGAAAGAGAGTAATTATAGGTTAAAAAAATTCAAGAACTTAGGTTGCCTGACATAAGTTGTGGACTCCTAAATGTGAATGAGCTTTTGTTTTCGACTCTCTGGGGAGCCTTTGTCATTCATGTAGGGCAGCATTAAACTGTATCTTTT